TAGTTTTACACTACCATTGAGAAATTTTAACCAAAGTATGTTATAGACTTTTCATTAAGTCCCTAAAGAATCATATCAACTTGTGTAAAATGGGCATCCGATGACCCCTTTAATGAATCTTAATCTCTAGCTTCTGCTAACTGTCGTACGCACATTCACGAGAGAGTGGTGTCCAGCGGATGACGTAGGACGTAGGCCAACGCGGTGACGAACACGGAAGTGATGAATGTGGAAGCGCAGAGGAGAGAGCAAAACAAAACACCGGTCACGAATTAGTAGTACAAAACGAGGATTTGTAAAGAAAAAAGTCGGAGGATTTCGATATAAGCCAAGAGAACACTGGTTTTCCTTTGCTGTAAACAAAACTGGTTTCTCGCGAGACTAGCATATTCTCACTGGAGCTTATGCTACTACTACGTGCTACGTCATCCGCTGGACACCACTCTTTCATGAACGACAGTTAGCGGAAGCTAGAGATTAAGGTTTATAAAGTGAAATAATGGTCTGAGAGGATATTTTTCTTACACAAACGCATCGCGTTGCTTCAGAAGGCCTTTATTAACCCCCCGGAGCCATGAGGACTTCTTTTATAACGGATGAGTGCAATTTTTTGGACTTTAAATTTTGGGCTACCATCCACTCCCATTATAAAGCATGGAATAGCCATGGGATTGTATTCGTCTGAAAGAAGAATGTCATATACACCTAGGATGGCTTGAGGGTGAGTAAATCATGGGGTAATTTTCATTTTTGGGTGAACTGTCCCTTTAAGCAATATAAATATTTTAAACAAACTACATTACACAATGTGAAATGTAAAGCTGTAAAGATGCAAAGAGTTGGCCATTCAAATTCACTTCTGTGAGTCAGTTAAACCATATTATCCGAAAGACTGATTTGATGAATAAGCTTCTGATTCGGATACATTTGGCATTAAATATGACAGTAAAATATATATGTAGGTTAAAACTGTGATGCATTATTATATAAATAAAAATTACTAATACCAATAGTATGGAAAACAATGCCTTGATTTAAAAAAAAAGCCTTGCTTTTACTTTTGTCTTACATGCACACTTACTGAGAAAAAAAGAATTTCAGAACAAATTATACATTTTTATATTTCATATTTATTATATAAATAAAATGAATAATATTGAGATGCATGATGAAAAAGTAAAAAAAGACATTTTTAGCTACTTTGCCCAGCCCTGGCGTACACCGTTTCAGGTGAAGGGTAATGTGTTTAAATGTGTTTAACGTGTTTTGTTTTTTTATTCAGCTTGTCTACATCTGTCTTTCTCTCCATTTAAAAATTGTTATGCTAATACGCTTCACCAGTTTCCTCCTAGCTCGATAGCTTCACAGCTACAGAAGTTTTTTTTTTTTTTGAATGGAAATATTACAACTCAGCCATGTAACAGCGCTGAAATAGCAGTCGTCTATAAACTTCAATGGGTCTTTATATCCTAAAGTGGCATGACTAAGTTATAAATGTCAATAATTGCTTTTGCTTTTTATTTTTGTCTCTCGCTTGCAACACAATCAACCAGTCAGACTGGTTCCCAGCAGGCCCT